GAATGATCACAGAATTTGTTTTCAAAACTTTCAAACAAAGGAAGGAAGACATTTTGCTTTTAATTTTTTTAAGTCCTCTCCGGCCATGTCCTTTCACCGTCAGTGGGATTGCAGAGCACTAAAAAAGCCTCGTTTATCACGGATTTTGTAAGTTTTGATCGAAGTTCGTGCTAAAGGGAAGTTCTTTTTGATCCTATTTATGTTTGTTGTGAACATTATTATTAATTGAATTATTCAAATTTAAATCGATTTGTTTTTCTGGTCCACGTGTTTTTATTTCTCTCCGAGTACTCGTATTATTAATCACTGGGCCTCCTTTGGTGACCAGTTTAACTTTATAACTACCAAAAGGGACACCTAATCGAAGTAAAAGTAGGCATCTGTCTCTTCAGACGCGACCAAAGTATTAGAGACAACGAAACACAATTGTATAGTTGTTAGCAAGAAGGATCCCTCTTTCGAGAAGCCCTAAGAATTTTTACTTCCCCTTTTTTTTAATCTTTTTAAAACTTTTTCAGACACAGCATTATTTAAATCTAATTGCCAAAAGAAAAGCAATAAAAGGTTCCAGATATTCAGTAACATTTTAACGAAAGCTTTAACGCCTTTTTCGGTTTCCCCCTTCAGGAACTACACGGTAGGGGGTGCGTTACATTCAATCATAATTGTAAGAGAACATAACCCTCTTTAGTCGTTTGGCAAACTGGCCGGGAAGAACAGGCATAAGCCACAATTTATGGCTGTTCACCTTTTATTGTACACTTTCAATGTTAAAGGAGGGAGGAATTGAACTAATACTGTAATTCTGGTACAATCGAAACAAAACAAAAATGGTATTTAAATTCACAGAACTTCAAATTATTTCAAGACCGATTTGTTGATGTGAACTTTGTTCACCCTATTGTTTGCTTGTTTAATCACGCGCCGATATGCATCGACATTTAACTCACGACAGTCAATCAGCACTACATGAGCAACTTTTTCATCACCTTCACCGAATGAATGACCTTCGAAATCGGAGTAATACGCTGAAACAGATTTCCGTCAATGACAACATACTGCGATATGAACAGTTCTATAGTTTGATAAACGTAGCGAACAACTGTTACAAGAATACTAAGAATATTCTTTTGAAGAATACATAATAAAGTATTATGGGTGAACTTTTTTTGTTGATCGAATTATTGAAATTCATTTCCAAAGGAATTTAGATGAGGAGGGTTGCGTGACTGTAATATGATCGAAAAGGCAAGAAGCGGGCTAACAATAGAAAGAACGTTTTCCGTGTGTGATTTATCTTTGATATCTAAATCTATCAGATTTCAGAGAACGCGCTTGGTGTATCCCAACACTTGAACGCACCTTGTTCGGTCCTTAGCTGACCATTAAGGAATGTTGGACACCTTATCATTTAAAAATTTCCACAAAACAATTTTTTTAGTATTATTTTGTTTTATTTTTTAATTCATTTATTTATCTATTTATTATTAACTATTTGACACTTTAACGTGATATGGGAGAAGCTTTCGTGTAGATATGTGTCTAGATATTTGTTAACTTTTATATTTTATATTCCTAATATTATATTTTTAATTAATATTTACTGTAATCAGTCCTTTTTATCGTTATATTAAGTTACTTCTGCTCGTAGTTCAGCCATGTACACATGATCCCCCTGCTCGGATGTGGATGGCAACACGCTTAACATTAATAAAATGATTGATTAAAATCTCATAGTATTTGTTCACTGTAATTCAGCAGCGCTGCCTTCATCAACACAGTAATTGAAGATATTAATCTTTCAATGACCGGTAGTGAGTACAATTCTCAGAAACGGTAGTATTTTAGAATTTCGATATCCTTCGTAAGTGTTTTTATATTTAAACAAAGTAATGATAACAAGAAATACTCATACAAACACCCAGCAGGCGTCAAACGAATGATCAGAGAATTTGTTTTCGAAATTTTCAAACAAAGGAATCCATTGATTGATTTATTAATTGTTATCTCTCAGATAAAGTCTGGAGTTTGGTGGACCAAGAAATCGCTGGTGCTCTTAACATGTTGTAACTTCGAATAAGGAGTCATCCAGAAAGTCAAATCAAGGTTCAATTCTGCTGTTCAAACGTATCCTTTTCACGCATCCCCTTTTAGGCGATCCAAATATTTTTGTATCTCTGCAAAGTCCACAAAATCGTCTTCTCTCCGAGGGGAGATGATTATGTTTTCTTCAGTTTGTGTGCGACGCGGCATCTCTGTCTGCTCCGCAGCTGGGAAACCGCAAGGTTGTGAGTGTTTAGACCACGAATTTTTGTCAGTGTTGTCAGTGCCTTCCGCCTTCTGAGGAAAGCTGTTTTTCTTTCGCATATCTGTTCGTGAAGATCCTCGATTTTCAATGTCACCGTTAATTGTGACACAATCCAATCTTCTTTTTTCGAATTGTGTCACGGTATCACCAGCTCTTTCCGTTTCTTGTGTTGCGATAGGTGCATCCTCAGGAACCCTCATATCAACAGGCTCGAGATAATACTCTTCTTGAAAGTTCTCTACGTTGGGCTGTATTCCATCCGTTTCTTTACCTCGCTGGTCTTCCATAAAAATGTATACTTCTTCTGTTTCCAGTGAATAATTAAAGGATTGATCATTAGGTTCTAGATCAACTAATCTAAAAACACGTCCATCATCTTTGACTTCTGTATACACGTCATCGGCGATAACATCAATGTAGTAATCATCATTGCTCGCATCCCGCTTAATGGCCGCACTCCGCTTTGTCCTCAGGTGTCTTTGCTCAACTCCTTTCCAGTCAGTAACGTCAGTTACTAAGTATGCCAAACCCTCACCACACGGAGGAGTCCTTGGGGGCAATGGTGGTGGTGGTGGTGATAATGTTTTTCTTAGAAATTCATGTTTTGGTGGTAGCTCGGGGCAAGCATCGTCGGAATCATCTTCTGAGGAACTTCTACACAACAATGACCATTCCGAGTCAGAGAAGTGGTAGATTTGCGTTTTCGGTGATGGATCCACAACGCTGTTGTTATTATCTCCCGGCACCTCATTTCCTGTGCCAACGCGCTTTCTAGGCGTGGGAATTGGACGACGACGAGCTAGAGGATGGCTTTCCTCCGTGACGTCGTGTGCTGCGTGGTGTCGCGCGTTGTATGACGTCGTGTGTTGCGTGACGTCGTGTGGCGTTGATCTTGCGTTGTGAGACATCTTATGATGAAGATTGAAGACGGCATCATGGGCTTCCTCGTACGCCTTTGACATTTTGTCGTTCAATTTTTTGTCAATTTCAAAGTTTTCATAGTCTCTTTCAGCTTCAGAGGAAGACTGTGACGAGGACCCTGACCTTCCGTATTTACGCTCTGTTTCCAGTTTGGTGTTTACACAAAGACCTTCAGTTCTTTCATTTGTTTTGTTCACTAACGTTTTGTTTTCAGTTTTTTCGGGTTTTGAAAGCGAAGGAGATTGAAGTAGCTCGAGATTGAAATGTATGACGGGATATGTTGTGAAATAAAAAGAGTTGGCTTTAAGTCTGTCGAGTCGATCCAACGCTTTCTCAGACACCGCAAGATGCTGTCTGCAATGTTTGATCTTTTCACTTGTTTCTTCCGTGACTTTAAACCCGCAACCAACTTTAATGTCTAATGTTTTTGGGAACACGCTTAGCGAATAAAGGTTATCAATCGAAGCTGCAAACACCATTTCAACTTCTCTTTCGCCCCTTAAATCGATGTTTCCCAAGTTTGATAAATGTCGGGTGCAAGCTTCGAAGTAGTCGTCTTCTAGAGAAACAAATCGAACACTCACTGGCAGTGGATAGTTGGCCATAACCTCCTCTAGCTGGTATTCTCTTGCGCCTAAGAGCGGCTGAAATGTCCCTGATAGTTCTAGTGGCAGCAAAACCTCTTCAAAACTATCCATGCGACTTATTAGGCATTTCACGAGGTTACTATGAAATTTGTCGCTCTTTAAAATTATCAGTGTTGTTTCTGAATTGATTCCAACCGAAGGAATGTCCTCCAGAACACGGAAATTCTTCGTTTGATATCCAGTGCATAACTCTCTTATTGAACAGTATTTTTTGTGGCACCCTGAAGGAATAAGCTGAATCTTGGTTTTTGAATTCTTCGACACACAAAGCTCTCGATTGAACTGATCGATCGCAACAATCATTTTTTCCTTCTCGACTTTGTATATAACGAGTACGTGGTCTACTTCAAGCGTTTCGTCAACATCAGGCCCAAAATATCCTTCTACGATATTGACTGCTATGGGAAGAGCAGAGCCATAACACTGAAGAAATGTTTTAAGGTTTACAGCATTTGCTGGCCCATCGAACTCCATTGTAAATAACTTGTGTTCAGTCGAAACGAAGGCGTATACCTCTTTCGGTGTTCGAATGGGTTCATTTGGTAGACGTCGAGTCAAACTCCGGATAACGGATAGAAAAGAAGTCTTGACATTTGTCCAAAATTAATTACAAGGACAGATTGCTGACTGATATATACACTTAAACAAAACAATGAGGTTTCCTGTGGTCCTGAAATTACCGTATTAGGCTTTGTGAATTGATCCTTCGGCTCGCGATAGTAGACTTATGAGGTCACGAGGCTACATCTAAAGTCATTGGTTTGAGTCTGACGTGATATTTAAAACTCTAGATCCCTTATAATTCCGTGAAACTGAAACGTTTCCGTAGCTGTTTCTTCTAATGTCCCTTCTGACCGCGAGTTACAGCGAGAAATGTAAAAGATATATTGACAATATTCCTGTGAAAGCAGGAAATGGCCCCTTTTAGTCCTCAGGTCAAGGGAAGTACGAAGCTAAAAAAGATATTAAAAGAAATCAAATACTTCCAGTTTAATATTGTCAAAGATGTTGACACGTTCAAAAACAATTAGAAGTTTGCAATGATAACATTTCATTATCTTATCTTTTTGTCTTTGTTACAAGGATCATTACAGGAGAAAGTTCAGTTTAACGCGTTAAAAATTTTAATTTATATCTTAAAGGTGAAGATCGATTTAAAGAATTTAAGTAAATCTCGAGGTGATTTCGGTCTTACTTTGTGAGATTGCTCCAAAAGCTTACGAAGCGTTCCAAAATAACTTAGTCACTCAGTACAGCAGAGTGCGTTACTGGCTATAAGCCAGTATAAACCACAAAACGAATCCCACAAATTCATCACAGTAAAAGATATAAAACGTCTCTAGAATTAGTTGTTTAATTTTAAAAAGTGCTTCGGAGAGAGCTCGACAAAACTTCGAATCGTTTCGGTATACCGTCGGTCTTCTCGCTTCGGGAGGACTTCCTTACTTTTTTACGAACGTAAGAGCTAAGCCCAAGTGAAGGCTTCTGCGGCTTCGTGTTGCGGGAGAAAGTTCGGCGGTTTCAACGCATTTAAAATTATGTTGGCTAAGATCCACGCGTGCTCTGAAGCGTAGTACATTTGTTTGTTTATTTTAAAATTCTTAAATTATCTGATGAGTTTCTTCACCGAGAGGAAACGCCGCTCCATTTCATTTTCTCAAGAAGTCCACAGTTTTTCTACAGAGCAAAGAAATCCAATCACAATCGTTCCACAACGAAATCATCACATTGAAAGACATAAAACGTCTCTAGAAATAGTAGTTTAATCCTAAAAAGTGATTTGGAGAGAGCTCAACAAAGCTTCGAATCGTTTCGGTATCATTTCGGTATACCGTCGCTCTTGATCCCGCGCAAGGAGAAGATTGCGCCGCGCATTGGAGCGGACTTACAAAGTTCATGATTTTTTGACAATGTCGGCGATGGAGTCGCAAAAAGCAGCTGCAGATAGTCAATACAAATGCTATGATTTTATTGCCCTACTAACGCAGGTCTATTTTTTCCGGCTCTTGAAATAAAGAAGTTATTCTTGATTTCCGTGAAATCGATTTTTTTGCTATGTAATAAATTCTTTATTAACCAAGCTTGTTCGACTAAGATGGCAGGAAATTAGCCTCGCTTTTTCTGTACGTTTTTGCAGACTTCGAATTGGTCTCGGTCCCTAACAACGCATAAATAGAACTTTGCTAATATTCGGCCATCTCGACGTCACGCTTTTTGGTTAATAACACATATGTATTATATATGAAATCGAAAAGAAAGCACTCTAGTTAAAAAGAATCTATTACTAATACAAAATAGTTTGCTAGTCTTCTACCGTCACTTTTGCACATCCCCACCCCCCATCAGAGCCAAACACAGCAAACTTTATGAATACCGATCGAAAAGTTAAGGTGTTCACAAAAGTTTGTAGTATCTTGACGTGGTTGTTCATGTACTTCGAAAGATTTCACTTCGGTCACATCATAACAAATTATTTAATACTGAGTATTTACTCAATATCTTCTCGCTTAGTAATTAAATGTCAAAGAGTTACATAACCTGCTCTGCATACTCCAGGGGACGGTTACCCAGCGAGAGGATATCACACACTTGGGAGTTCTGATACAAGTAGTTCATGTAAGTTACGGGTTTCTTGTTCGCCAGTAATTTTTTCAGACGTGGCCTCTCTCTTTCTTTTGTCCGTTATTTGAAGCACATTCTGTTTGAGTTGGTCTGAATCACTTTCTTCATCTTCGACATTAACATAAACAGAATCTTCCTCCTCGCTAGGGTTGTCAAGCTGCAGATAACGCGATACTCGGTCGCCTTTTGTCACCTCTACAGTTTTGGAGGAGATTACACCAAGTCTGTCTTCATCGTCCACTCTCTCACTGACTCGATTAGTTTCCACATACTGATAGGGTTCATCATTTATATCACAGTATGCAAATTCGTCCTCATCAAAGTTTTTGAGCGACATTTGGGGTTCGTGATTGATATAATGTCTGTCGCAACATTCTTCGTAATCGTCGTCATCGTCCAAATCTGAACTATAGGGTTTTTCTTTTTCGACCTGTTTTGACTGATAGGGTATATCATTCATATCACAGTATGCAAATTCTTCTTCATCAAAGTTTTTGTGCAACATTTTTGGTTCTTGATTGATAAAATGTCGGTCGCAACATTCTTCGTAATCGTCGTCATCGTCCGAATCTGAATTATAGGGTTTTTCTTTTTCGACGTGGCGTGGGAGAGTATTGGAACAATCATCTTGATTACGCTTTGAATTCCCACAGCTCATGTTCTCAGGAATTTCTTCGTAGACCTGATCTTCTTCGTCGTTGGAGTTATGGGTGGGGAATTTGTCAATTATTCCCTGCCCTTGGGGACTAATGGGATAATCTCCTCGATCAAGCTTCGCCCTCAGAGGACCAAAGTTCAGGTTTAGGGTTGAGGGCAGTCCTGTTTGTTTAGTCTGCATTTTCCCTATAGAATTTTCTTTTTTGTGTAATTTGGCTTTTCTTTGTGAATGTTCACAAAATGGTTTGGCGGAGTCGAGGTCATTGTGATTTTTGTCATGGGTGTTGCTCTTCGTTTTTTTCGAATCTTCATCGCGCTTAAGTTGTGAGGCGTTACCAGCTGGTAATTGCTGCTTATGGGCTTCTACTAGTTTCAGCTCTTCTTTTGTTGCGACTTGTTTTTCTAAATCGGCTACCCTCGCATTAACTTTCCTTAGTTCATTCATGAGTTTGAAATGCCGTTGGATATCCTTAAAATCCATAAAATCATCTTCGTTTGGGCTGGAAATGATGAAATTCCTCTCATCCCTCTGATTGGTAGCAATCGCTGTGTGATGACGTGTTTTGGTGACAACAGGTCTTGGTTGTGTACCAGAAATATTTGTTGCCGTCTCAATCGCTGCCGTTTTCTTCTTTTCTGAAGTTTCTTGGGGCCCTTCCATCTCCTGGTAAGATGCCTCTTTTACCTTACTCTGATTGTCGAAACTTGTTGGTGCCTTGGCTTTATCTCTTCTACCACCATCTCCGAGTTCAGGATTCTCGCCGTGGTTTAAAAGACACGCTGCATTGGAATCAGTGCAATCTGCAACCTCATGGTATGTTTTCCGGTCTTCCAGGTTTTGACGGTCTGGTTTCATTTCAAGGTACTTTGGTTCGTCATTCAGTGGACAAGTCAAATGTTCGGCATCATGGAGTCTGAAGACCTGTCCATCATCTCTTGCATTCGTGTAAACAGAATAGTCCTCCACTATTTTTGTGACCTTTTCTTCAACTGATGTGCACTCAGCATTTCTTTCCACTTCTTCATAAATGTCCGTTCCATCCTGATCAGAGTCAGAAGAAGCCTCGTTTGGGTACTTTTCAGCCAATCCTGAATCCTTACATTTCATATCAACATAGGTGTTGTCGTCGTCGTTCAGTTGACAAACACCACCTGGTACAAAACTTTTCCCATCATCCATGGGATCGGTGTACAGAGCTCTCTCTTCAACTGCTTCCCAGTCCGTGACGTCAACCACTAAGTAGGCCAAATCTTCAGCCAATGCTGAATTAACCGGTCTTGGAGGTAGAGGTGGTGGACTTTCGCCTAAAGCAGCATTTCTTTCTTCACTTGTGTCCAAAGCTCTTAGAAAAAGGGGCTTGGGTGGCAAGTCAGGGCCGCGCTCATAGTCATCATTTCCAGAGGAACTGCTGGACTGCGAAGATACAGACCTCCCGGTTAAATCATGACCTGAGCTTGAGTCTTGTGTTTGTGAAGACACAGGTTCGTCGTTGGAGTCATCCTGACACCGCAACGACATGGCATTGAGACGCTTCCTTGGTTTGGGAACCGGTTTCCAGTTAGTTTCAGGGCTTTGAATTTGCGTGACGTCCGAGTTTATCAACGGTGGTTTTGCTTGGCGGAGAGTCTTTGGGGGAAGAGGTGGAGCCTCATCTGCGACCTTTTCTAAAGTTTCCGAATCAACACTCTTAACAGTATTCCATTCAATTTCTATGTTTTCATAGTCGTCTTCATCTTGACACAAAGATTCTGAGATGCACTCTGATTGTGAACGGTCACGCTCTGGTTCTTTCGTCATGGCTGTCTCTTCAGGTTTTACGCCGGTTGTTTTCGTCTTCTTCGGAATCAGTGCTACTGACGGGGGTTGGAGCGATTCCAATTCAAAGCATCTAACTGGGAAGGCGCTTAAAAATGCAGAACTAGCAATTATTCTGTCAAGTCGTTTTAATGATTTTTCGTTCTCTGCAAGACTCTGTCTGCATGCTTTGATCTTTTTGCTTGTGTCTGCCGTGAGTCTGAAACCACAACTGACATAAATTTCTAGTGTTCTTGGGAAAACATACAGGGACAATTGATCATCAGGCAAAGCTGCAAACACCATTTCTACTTCGGTTTCTTTGGTTAGACACACATTCCCCGGATTTGTCAAGAGTCCACGGCCTGGATCAGTATTCGCTTGTGATTGATAAACAAATCGAATGTTGACAGGAACCTGAAACTGCTCAAGAACCTCTTCCAGGTAGTACTCCCTCGCATCCAAGAGCGGCTGAAATTTACCTCTTAGTTGAATTGGTAGAAAAATTTCCTTGGAGTTATGCAAACCAATCAGTTCACATTTCACGGAGTTGTTACGAATAGGTCGGCCGCCTAACAGAATCAGCGTTGTTTCTGAAGAAATTCCATGCGAAGGAATGTCTTCTAAAACGCGGAAATACGTCGTCCGATGAACATCGAATAATTCTTGTAATGAGTTGTATTCTTCTTCACTCCCGGGTGGAAGAAGCAAAACTTTCCGTTTCGAATTTCGTGGTATACAAACTTCTTGTTTGTAGTGATCAAGGCCTATTAGCATTTTCTGCTTCTCGACTTTGTAGATAACGAGTATTTGGTCAGCCTCTAAAGTGTCTTCTCCATAAAAACCCTCTGTGATCTTGACTACCTTGGGGAGAGTCGAGCCATAGCATCGAAGATACGTCGATAGATCGACGGGAACAACTTTACTGACGGAGTCCATCGGAACTTTTTCTTCTAATCACAAAGAAGGAATTGTAATGTTCTAGTTGAGGCGTGTCGAATGTCAACGAGCAATTGCAGGTCCGTCGCATAATAAAAGGAAGTCAGGTGAACTGAAAGGTCATCTTTGTGGTTTTATCGTTAATGACACGCCAAGAAGGGAAATGGGCCCATGCCTATAAATAGTTTTATCAAGTTCTCCAAGATATTCGATATATCCGACTCATTCAGCCACTGGAGTAAAACATTGGTTTGAAGTTTGATGCTCGTCTTTTCCTCCCTGTGAACTAGTACTCCTATAATACTGGAGTGGGACACTCTAGATCATGTTATTCACTAGTTATGTGTGACCAGTTGTCACGCGTTTTGTTAATGCAAGCTTTTTAGTTTTCTTAAACTTTTCAAAATTCCTTGAGAATGATTCAGTTTGTTGATGCGCAGTACAAAATAACCTTGTTCTTTAAGGGTGTTGAAGAATCTCTTATATTCTGTGAGTTTTTCAAATTCCGATACCATTATGATGTTTGCCATCAGTATCCAGGGACTTTCCCTGGAGGAAGTGGCCGCGGGGAAGGTTTTCGAACTTTCGAGAGATGCTGTGACTCACAAACGGACAGTTAGTATTTCATATTGTGTGACAAACATCGCATCACATTTCATGTACAACACAAAGAGCAGTTTATAGTCTCTTGACGACACCTTTTCAATTTTTTCCAAGCTAAATTGTTTTGTTTTATTCTTTATTTATGCTCTCTATAGGGTTAATGTAAGTTACCACGAGTGGGTGTTCTCGCTCGCTGCTCGTAACAATATTAATTTTTTAACTTTTTATGCTCCTTTCGTAAAACTTAAGTAGATGACGAACCGACCAACGTCAAACGCATCATATTACACTGTCTGGGTGCGAACAGGAACAAGGAATAGCTTGCACTGATTGACAAATTTTGACAGCCTTTGCCGTTGTGACGTTAAAGTAAAGCACATACCAAATGTTTGAAGCCAAAAATGGAAGATACCGTGAATTATTCCCAAATCTCGGGTCTGTACCTTATTTTGGCCATGACTCAATCAGTACAATCCCTAATGCGTTGTGTTGTATTTATTTATATGTTAATTACATCCTCTAAAGATTCCCCGCCGTGAAGCACATTTCGCAGCTAGGATGCATATTTCGTTTCGATATCACAACGCAATCGAGGAATATAAGGATTATCGATTGAAAGAAGAAACAATTTTAAATGTTTAAAAATATTTGTTGCCATTAGCTTATTTTCGTCGGGTAAATAAGCTCTTAAGTAGCTATGGAAAGAACTACAATCGAACCTGTATTAGGCGATATCGTATTCAGCGGTCACCCTGTACTAAGCGGAGACCCTTAAGTATGTCCCAAAGGCCTGCGAGTGTTGTCTTCCACGCGCATTGAACGGTCACTTACAGCGGAACAACAATTAAAACTAAGAAAAATCTCAAGAAACTTTAAATCGCAGTTTTGAGCGAGGTTTTATACTTTAAGTAATCAATTAGGGCATAAAATGGCGTGTTTTATGGTTTATTATAATACCTCTATCCACTATAACCTTTATTAAGCGAGCAACCATCTCCCCATTCAACTGTATGTAATTAAATGAACAGATACTGGATGCACATGCTTCGTCAGTCTTTTTAATCTGAATTATAGCCCCATGACGAATATCTTTATGTCCGTAAATTATCTCTCTTTTTTTAATTTGTCGACAAAGATATGTTCGGAAATTCGGGGAACTAGATTTTATGTCTGCAAGCTTTCACTATGAGCAAGATATGCTTATAGCAGTTAGGAATTCCTATGATGCTCATCGCTGTAGAGCCGCTAATATCGGACGACGATGTCAAAATGGCGCAAGATTGTATTTTGCATATTTGTTGTTGATGAATTTATTTTGCTTTATGTCCTTTTAAGTGGCAATTTCATTAAGTGAAGCGGATGCAAGGTTCGTAAGCTATCAAGAATACAATGAAACTGAAACTAGGCACACGTGTCGGGGTGAGCTTTCTTTAAAAAGAAAAGTTCTTATTGAGTAGCTCACCATCGTAAATAGTCGTTTTTGAGCCGTTGTGTGCACAATCAATAGTTGAAAAATTAGTATATGCGACTCGCTCAAGCATATTTTAAGGACAACAATAGCGGGAAGCTAGGTTATATTAGCCAATTAGTAAGGTCGGCGCACTTTAAGACTTAAAACGCACGAGATTTATAAATAGGTGATGTGTAATTCTAATTTATTACGCGGAACGAGTTGTATTGTTTTCTTCAAAGCATAATGACACAGGCCATCGAGTACTTTGTAATACGTATACTTTAAATATTAATGTATTTTATTGTTTTTCGAAAGACGTTTCCAATCTGTTTATTTGGAAGAGTCAAGAATAAATATTTTTTTTGATCAATGACGCGAGATTCTGATGGCAATTTTAGGTAATCGTCTTAACAACAAAGTGCATGTCTATAACATCACTTAGAGTGAACCATTTTTGAATGTTTTAGTAATTCGCTTTCCATCTCGTGCTTTCGTTTATACATGCCAATTCTTAGCACTGTTTTCAAAACCCCACCAAATTGTTTGATGAGAATATTTTATCGGGAAACCCTTGGATTTTTAAATGATCACCACGAGTAGGAAATCAGCTTTTCTAGTATTCAGACATTTGACGCGGGCGAAACGGCGCTATTGATGAAACGAAAGAGCTGTCACCAGCATCAGCCAACTTCGTGTGAAGTAACCGACGCGTAAGCAGTTTACAGAATTTCAGTCATGAAGGGGTTCGTTGTTCGATAACGAGACTGAACTGTGTAAGCTTCGCCGCTTTATTAAGAATACAGTGATGCTGCACATAGTATAACAAACGTATTGCTTACTGGAAAATCCGATACTTGTAGCCGAAATCGTTCTAGAATCGAAACATTTTCATTGTTTTCCAAGTAATGCCCGCTCGTTTCACGCGGTGAACTAATGACGACCAAGAGCAATCATTCATAACGCTTGTAACTGCAATTTTGATACTCTTTCAAGCGGACAGATACTGGGAGTTTGGAGCCTTTACAACGGAAATGGCCTCTTGGTGAAACCTAATTCTTAGCGAAAGCCTACAAAGATAGGTAGGAAACTGAACTAAGGAAACTGCTCCCTAGACTGTGAGAGTGCCAAAAAGATAAGACATCCTGATTTTAAGATTAGTGTCAATCTTACCGTGGTTGAACTTCCTTTTCGAGACAAAAATTAACAAAGAAATTGATCTTCAGGAAGTTTAATATTTGTCAAATGGATTAAATTCTGACAGAACGGCATTCTTTACTTGTATCAGTAGAAAAGGATGTTGGATCAAAAAACTTCTGTGGGAAATTGACCTTTGAAATTGATATTGACCCTCTTCTGGAAAAGTATCACGTTTTAAACAAGTATTTTGTGATTTATTATAAGTTAGCGCTTGAGGTGTGAGTGTGTGCTTGTGTGCGAATATTTCCATTGGTGAAATATTCGAGTCCTGCAAAGAATTTCAGTTGACAATCGAAGGTTTCACAAAACAATTTTGGAGTAACCTGAATAAGGGCATGTGAAATGTTCGCATTTTTTGCCAGTTTTGGTAATTGATAGAGGATGTGAAACCAAACCGACAGTCTTATTTCATTTCGCGTAAAAAACTAAAGAAAAATAAGCTAATTTAAGACGACGACCAAGTTGGTGAACCGAAATAATTAAGTAATTCAGTCGTAAAAAGTATCTCGGGGCCTTGTTGCCGGGGACCTTGTTCCCAGGGGCTTTGATCCCTGGAACCCTACGTTTGGTCTCTAAAATGACGGGACCCCACGGGATCCTACCGACAAAATCCACCGATATCATGAAATTAATAGCCAACCACGCTGTCTGGGCCATGAAGGTTAAAGTTTTGTAAATGCTTCTACGCAGAAAGCAAAGCCTGTCCGTAAACATTCAGTTTCGTGTTTCGTTGAATCATATTAAAAAATAAAATATATATTTAGAAGTGCGGCGAAAAATGCAATTGTAAGATCTATAGGGGAACAAAGTAGGGTAAAATAAACATTTAGTAGAAAAGCATGAAAAAAAAACCAGTTTATTTCCATAATTCAATGAAGAAAGATAGCCAACGTATCTCGGGTCTCAAAAGTGTATTTTCATACTGATGTCAAGCTAAAGAGGTTCGAAAAAGCTGTTTATTATATTTCAGTTTCTAAACGACATCAATTGGTTGTATAACTCTGCAACAGCAAAGAAGTCTGTACATGTGTCATAAAGGGTTGGAAATTAGATTGACCGAGACAAGTAACAAGTTTCAATTTAATCGGAAGTTCAATCGACAGATTTTTTTAAACTGTTTGAAGGGATTCAATACTTGTCTTTCCATGTCACCGATGCCACGTTGGCTGAGCAAGGACGACAGACTCTGCATTTCGTTTCATCTAAGGGCTTAGTTTGCTATGTCGGACCAGCAACGGAGTGAACTCGTTTCGCTGAGCGCCAACTCTTTTTCACTGAAAGATTTCGTGGGAAAGTTTCCACTTCCACAAACAGTCACCTTTCAAGAAGGATATTTTGACGAATACCAGAGTAAAACTATCGGTGCTGGCACTGAGTGTAATTTGTTATCTTTAGAAAGTGTCGAAACGGCAATATTTGAAGATAAAGATGGCGAAGACATTCACATCCCGCTTCGGGATCCATTTGGCGTGGAGCGCGTCGCAGAGGCTACATTTGAACAAAATCTCACCCTTGCAGACCTGATCCTAGAGAGTTCTATGGTAAAGTTTGTTCGTGTCGTCGAGACTGATCCAAACTTCGAAAGTATCATCAGGCAAGGGGACAAGCTGAGGATAGAGAGGAAAAATTCTCGTGAGACCTTTCTGGCCTTCAAAATTGTCAGTGATAAGGGAAAACCTCTAATTAAAGTCCCTGCTAGTTGCCAAGCAAAATTTCTACCACTTTGGAACGGCGAGGAGTTGCCTCTTAGCAAGTTTGTGAAGAAGTACAAGCTTCCTGTCTATGTGGTGATGAATTTTATCGACTATAGTACGGACAGGAATTTAAATAAGGGAGAAGGAAACCCCAGAGAGAGGCCAACAACAAGAATAGTTAAGAGCCTACGTCATCTGTCCAATAGCGTTCTTAAATTAAAGGGAATTTTAGCAGATTCTATTGTGCTAGCTTCAATGGAGGTGGATGGTATACCTTCAAAGTTTTCATTTCCCAAAACTCTACCAATTAATGTTGTGCCTTTGAGAATGGAATCTAAAACTGGGGCACCAGGTAACAAACTAGATTTCATATCGAGCGAAAGGAACGAAACTGGAAATTACGACAGTGAATTGATCGCAGTAGAGGAGAACGAGTACGAAGATATGTCTGGCCTCAGAGATCCACAAGGATCGTCTCAATCAAAAATGAGAGTTGGATTTGAAAATAACAATAAATGTGGTGATGAAGCGAGGAAAATCACGCAGTTAGCGGGGCTGGGTGCACGCCACAACACATACTCCCCGGCGCCCTCCAAAAGAGTAATTAGAAGCCAAAGCGAGAGGCTACCAAGAAAAGGAAACTGGACATTTTCAAGAACTGTTAGCAATTTGGAACTACCAAGCGAAGACAACCTTTATGACGAGTTACAGTTTCGTACACTGCCTCAAAAAGTGAAAAAACGTCCGCCGTCATTGACAAGAAGAGCAAGTGACTGGAACATTGAGCGAGTATCGAAACAGAATTTAAATAACCTATTACACTTGCAGGCTCAAAGCGGGGAAGATCATGGCTTTCAAGGTCACGTCGAAGTGGTTTCGTTACAGATTCCGAAACTTTCGCCTACCTATAAGACATGCCCAAGGATGAAAACATTTGGAAGGAAAACAGAAAGCAATGAAACTGAAAGTAGCCCTTATGACGTCCAAGAATTAAATTTTGACAGCCATGCTAGCAAGTCATTGAACATGAATCATTTGCCAGCGAGGTTAACTTCAACGACTTCCAAAGCGCCCTTTTATGAATCCGAGGAGATGGAGTATGATGCTCCTTCAAACCTAAACCTTTCAAATCACTCAGAAGGAAAACGAGGAAGTGACGATGCACTCCCATCCCTTCCTTCTTCACAAAGAAGTTGTGGAGATGGATTTCATCTCTCCTCTCGTGATCCTCTTTTGAAAGAGAGAGAAGATCCAAAAGGAAGACATTACGTCCTTGACAACAAGATCCCATTCGTTGGCACCAGTCTAAAGAAAATTATTCCACCAGAACCTCCTGAAAAGGATGACTTTTACGAAAATGTAAAGATGCAAACGAAAGCAGTTGTCGGTCCCACAAGAGGGCGTGAAGCAGTAACAAACAAAAAGGAGGTTGGCGTCGAGGTGTCAAAAGTCAATGCAAGTAAAATTGATTCCAAAACCGAGCCCTTGGAGAGAAGGGACAATTGCTCTATTAGAAAAGATGAACCAAAATCAGCTACAGGTCCGACAGGTCTACTAGAACCAGAAAGTATCGAAAAGGAGAAGGAATCACCACCCATTCCCCCACGGCTGAAGCACATTAAAGAACCTCTGTACTCCTCAGTACTTAAGAAAGGAAATCCATCACAAGATAAGATCAGCGATTTGCATTCTGATCCATTACCCAGGGGAAGACCTCAACCTTCTCCTAGACGGCCTCGAGATGGTAGCAACCTCTCTCCAACGGATTCGATGAAAGCTAAGAGCACTTCAGGCGTCCATTCTGATTCAGTAACACCTTCACTTGAAAAGAAACCAAAGACGGCTGTCAATGATGACCGAAACTCAGACTTTGTCATTCCACAAGACCTAAGTGCTCTAAGTGTCACTGATGTGTTGAAGTGTCTAAACGCTTTAAATATGAAGAAATTTGAGGATATTTTCAGTGAACGCCAAGTCGATGGAAACATGCTCGTCTGCTTGGATGAAGAAGCCATGGAGTCGATTGAAATAGATCGCTTCCATCGTTTGAAACTCCTCAAATTCATTGCAGGTTGGAGACCACAGCTACACTGATCGGACCACATTGCATCATGAATTGACTTATTTAAAACCTTCGCCGCTGATGCAAACTTCAAGTTTTGAAAACTCACACATTTTATTGCCCTAACGAAATGCGTAGAGTAGATATTTCTGCTGGAAATCTGTCGGGTTATCTCCGTTAAATGGCCACAAACAGCAACTTGACCCCATACCGGTTATGACGTTTTTGTTCAGAGTGTATAGTTAATTCTTGCCAACCGATGTATAAAACGTAGTTACTGCGCAGTGGCTCAAGGATCCAGCTGAAGGTTAAAGATCCTTTCATAACAGGCCAGCGAATTGCCAGCCTTATCAAATGTGATATGGCTTTGAAGCTAAGAAAAAAAACCAACCTTATAAAATGGCCAAAAAAGATAAAAAATTGTGAGAAAACATATAGAAATGAAATGCTGTGTGATCAATATCCTTGAGCATGTGCACATGAGAATTTTTCTTGGTGCCTCTTGATGATTGGAGCAATCTTTCCGATTCGAAGCTGGATCGCGTGATTCATTTGAGCCAAATCATAATTAGCATGAATATTCTACTTGTACGCCAACAGCAAGAATTAGACGCTTACAATTTTCTCAGTGCTTGTAAAGGGCAAAATTCGTGCATTTTGACCGGCATATTTTATGGGCTGCCCCTAATTGAAGAGCCATTTGTTATGGTTGACTTTTGACATGAATTACTCAATCATGTCAAACAACAATAATCGACTGTAAGTGATATTTATTTGTGCAGTAAATTTCATCTCATTCATAACTTGATATAAAATTGATATAAGGTTAGTTTGGTAAACATCTCTGGAGAAGTTTACCTTTATAATCATGTTACACGGCGTCCAAAAAACGACATAGCTTCAACTATGAATGAAATGATAACGACGATTTAAATCTCATTCAAAGTGCTTTTTAAAATAATAAATTTTGCCGCAGGGAAGGATTTGAGAATCATCTATGCGTCAGCCACTTGAGCTCGAAATGCTTAGGGCAGTTGATTGCCCTGCAAAAATTCGCCACTCTTCCGATGGCAAACCCCGTGCAACAGGCCTTAAAATCCGCCGTTCTAAGAGAGGTTTAGCGTCAGCTGATCTGTCTTGAGTAAAATGCAGAAAGAATGCGGAGCCTGGAAACATGTAGCACACCCCTTCCTCCCCTCCCCACGCTAAGTATAGCATTTCCAAGCTACCCCTCGCCTAAGGAACTCTACTGGATAATCAGAGTGAAGTGATTACTTGATTTGACAACAGTTAAACCAACCGATTACGCAATCAACAGCAATTAAGCTTTGATTAATGTCATAGTGTGTCTTTGAAAGATCTAGGTTGTTAAGTTGACAATGCGAAAGATTATGTTTGTCTGGCAAGAAAGCCTTTCGCACCCATTCCACAAAAAGTGGGCCCAATAGCCATTTTCAATGTCTTTGTTTTGCGGAGGCCACAAGAAAAGTTATAGCCGTACATTTTTAGTGCCCAGGTAGAGTAGACATGGTAAGTTCAAAGCCCCAAATGCAAAGTCGTATGTATCTTATACCATTTTTTTGCATTTGGAGCTCAAAATCCCCTAAAAGTACTTTTTTTCAGTGTCCACGATGGAACGGTAGAACAAACATCTTGATTATAAACCTCTGAATGATCCCCGGGTAAACATTCGATATGTGTAAACCGTCCAATAGTAAATGAACTTAAAATAAATTTTGATGTTTCATAGTGCACTGCATTAGTCCGATTTTAGTAGTCACAGAATTGATGTCCACAAATTCTTTGTAACTTCCGTTACCGAAATAAGAAAAGTAATTTAACTGCGTTAGAAATCCCTGTATAATCTCTTCTTACCGTCAATTACTTATTGTTTCATCGCAGTTTCAATATTTTAAGTCATCACCTCCTTTTCTACAAGTGGCAATGATAGACTTCCCTTTGAATGAGGCCGAAGAGCACCGTATGGTTAAGAATGTAACTTCCGTTACCAGTGTTTAGCGAAAACAAAAGTTCCTTTGCTTCAAAATGTTCTGTGCAAGTACGAAGGTACCTACAATCAGTAAGCTCACAGACTTATATTAACTGGCTTGTGTCTTGGAAAGAAGTGGAGGCACAAAAGATCTCAAACTGTAACTTCCGTTACTGTAACTTCCGTTACCATTTATTTTGGAATATCTTAAATACGCGTCCTTTGGTTGAGTTGCACTTTGGAACATCATCTGGCTGTCTAAAGTCGCGGCAAAATAAACATGACTGACATTATTGACATTCCAGTGTTACGCAACAACCCCTCCGTTGCCGTATTGCGACACATTCGCCAAGACCGAAGCGTTTGTTACAAATTTCTCAATTTTTCATTGTCAGTCGTTCATCGAAATTGACAAAATCCAAAGGTGAGTAGTATCAATATGATGTACATACAAAATTTATTTGCATTGACGTTTTCTTTTGGCTAAAAGCCTCGTTTTCTGTCAGACAGTAAACCAATCAGTAATTTGTAACTACCGTTACTGGTAGTCAATCAATTAAACAGATAGCTTTTTAAGTATTAGTCATGTTTTTCTTTTAAAACTATTTTGATTCATGTATTCATATCTTCAATGAAAGGTTTTTTTTAACAAGAAAGGGTTTTACGTACTGTGTTGACATAAAATATTTGTTTGATATGCAAATGTCGTAATTTAGAAGATTTAATGATGTAATTTTTTTTAGAAGATTGTTTAATTGTAACGTTTATTGAAAGGAAGGCGATTAGTTTTATGTTTTCCTTCGTGAAAATTCGTGCCATATGGCAGCTAAGGTATTAAACAAGTTTCAGGTCATAGCTTACTCATTTGTAACTTCCGTTACTTTTTTTGTAACTTCCGTTACCAAGCTTATGATTAAAATTTCAAGAAAAGGTCTATACGTACGTCCTAACAGACTTGAAGAATATAATGGCATGGTCTTAGCTTCTGTAAAAGAACGTAGTTGTTCTTTCTTCTTCCTCTGAAGAAGAATATAGTATAATTATAAAAAAACTTATTTTAAAAAGAAACAATTTCAGACGGTTTAAATTATTTTTAGATCTCTATATTTTCTTCTTTGTAGGAGCAGAGCACTTTAATAGTATGATTTTTATTTACATGTTGCCCTGTATTAAGTATATACTACGTTGATTTTGAATAACTCAAAAACGAGAACTTAAAAAAGTGGAAAATTATTTTAAAGATCGGTGATTTTTTTGCCTAAAGTGATTTTCAAGTAAGTACAATAAAATGTTTCATAACTACGGAAATATATGACCTTTGGTGCTAATTTTTGAGATATTTACTCTTCGATATTTGCGCTTTAAATTGAATGATTCGCCACGTACTTTCTGTGAAACTGATTTTTTTCGATTTTCCAAGTGACATTGGGCCCACTTTTTGTGGAATGGGTGTTGAACGACGGTTGATGAAAGTTGATTAAAGGAAATTCAGAGAGCCGAATAAAGGTTTTTACTCGGTTTGACAACTATTTATTTGACCTTCGAGGCATTCAGTAGCGTTTCAGCTTGGAATGAGATCCCAGTGTTCCTTGTTGTTTTGAAAGGTCTAAGTTTAATTGCTGAATTGACAGATCGTTTTTGCTGAGACCGAAGGCAATCCATAGAGCCAAATAAAGTTGTCAAGGCTGAGACAGCACCGATGTTCATTGAAAATTCTAGACTATAGCTTATATTAACGCGTGCCTACTGTTGTTTTGAAAATTGTCGTCTTTCAATTGTCTTTCAATCATGACCTCAATACAAAAAAAGCCAGCGACTTTTGTTAAAAACGGTCTGGTAAACATTTGCTTATCGAATCACATCTTATGCGCACTGCGTTTTCTCTCACACAATTATATCGAACGATCTACAACAGTGCATTCGCAAACATATCTTGATGGTGTGTACAACAGATTACTAGTATAGCCTGATAACTTGACCATATTTCACCTTTATTGAGTTCCATTTGGGGGAAATAGTATTCTTAAGTTCTTCGTATCTCTCAAATAATGCTTTGTACAAACAATTCGGTCAGGAAGGAGCGACTCGACTATTTGAAACGTTTATCAAAAGTTTTAAACAAAAATAACACGTCTACAGCGTAAGACGAATACAGTTTTATCCATGTAAAAAGTCACGATGCCCATTTAGGATTTTCGAGACTAAAAAAAAGAATTAAGTCAAAAGTTTTACTATTTCCGGTTCAGAACTCGTCTTCCTGATCGTAGAAATAAGCCTTGGCATGTTAGGTTTTTCTCGATCCACAAACTCGAGATAAAAAGAAAGCAGAGCAAAGCAACGAAGCAAGGAATTACTTCCTAGGTCTGATATGGTTTTAGGTCGGAATTACGCCCTCTATCAAATACAAAAGATCTCGAAAAGTAACCGCTTGAAATAGTAGAAAACTGTATTCACGGTGGTTGTGGCTTTTTTCGACTTTTTGCTTCATCGCTAGGAAAATCGAAAGATTAGCGGCTGAATAATAGATTTTCAATCTTATGGCTCACCTGTCTCGATGAAGCCCCCGAGCCGGCATTTTTAATGCAACTGTCGAAAAAGCTTTAACTCTGTAAAGAACTTTTCCCTCTTATTTACATTTGTAGTTTTTGTATTTTCCCAAAGAGACAATAACAAGCGAACTTGAGTAATTTTTGCATCCAGTTTTGATCAAGTCTACGTCACATGTTTAAAGACAATGCCCTAGAATTTGATTTTAGTTCTAATTACTTCGTCAATTTCAGGCATTCGTGACTATCGTCCTCAAGAGGTTTTAGGAATCCAACCGTCTCGGATAAACTTGGTGAGCTTTCTTCGATGCAATGCATTGGAGATCCCAAGATCTTTCATCATTTCTTCATCCACATCTAGCAAAAGTTTTCCGTCGACTGATTCTTGTTCAAAAGTCTCAACGTACTGGCCCAAACCTAGCTTGGTTAGCCATTCACAGACTTCGTTCACCGTGAGCTCATTCCGAAGTTCTTGGCTCAATGTATCTCGAGCTCCACTATTATCTCTTGGGTTCCTGACACTGGAAACTGTTCTGGAAGGGTTGAAATCAACTGATGATTCCGCCTTGTGCGAAGTCGACTTGGTAGGGGTGGTCGGTGCACTTTTCTCATTATTTAGTCCAGCGGACGCCACAGTTGGTGAAACAGGGTGGTGAGAGCTTGGAGGCTGTACCTCTCCAATTTTTAAAGCAGGTTTTACCGTAGGCTTTTCGGCAAGTTGCGGTTTGGAAGAAGAAGCAGACTGACCAGGGGAAAGATATGTTGGGGGCCGTTCCTCCTTGCTGAGAGGTCTCTTATTTTGAGTCACATTTGGCCTTATGGCAACTGGAGGTAAAACCAGGTTCAGGCTCTTCTTTTGATCCTTAGGATATGCTTTTGTAGATTTGGACTTGTTGAATGAAAGGCATTCATAATTATCATCGTATAGAGCCTCTTCCTCTTCATTGTTTAGGACTAAAGATTTCCCTTGCGACGGTTTTGCTTTGGGTGGCTTCTTGGCGACTGGAGGGGCAGCCGATCCAACGGCTGCCTTGTTGACAAAAGGCTTGGGTGGTGCTGTATATCGATCCTCAAATTGTGATTTGTCCACCGTTGTTTTTTGACCTGAAATTGTCTTTGTTGGTGTTCGTGATGGAACAGGAGGAGCTATTTCGTCATAAGTTTCATCATCCGACGATACACTACAGGTTTCAACGCACTGACCGATCTCAAAAAGCCATGATGCATCTTCGTCTCGGCCTGTGATTACTGACTCAATATTTATTTTGTTGTCGATCAGCTGACAAATTTCAGCGAGCACCTTTGGATCTATGTTTGACTCGATTCGTCTGACTAGAACTTCCAAGCTAATTGGAATTGTCAAGACCCTCAAATGCTTTCCGATTAAGGTGTAAGCTATTAAAACCTTTTCCTTTACTATCTCCTTGATAACAATCGTAAGGCTCTTCTCGATGCGCTTTTCTCCGATAAACTTCCCGATGGAACCTGCACGAACACGCACTCGAGTTGGCAGAATATGTCGATCTGTGACGTCTCTTAAAGAAGAAGGATGAACTTCCTCAAGGGTCTCGAAATGTCCTCGCTGTTCACAAGAGAGGAATATCGGCCTTTTTGTCCCAACCACCTTGCATTTAAGTTCCGTGCGGCCTTGACTACTTAGTGAAGCTTCTTGAAGCGAAAGTATGTCGCCGGCGTTGATGTTACTTTGAGGTATATTGTAGAGCGAGCGAACATATTTCGGAAAGTCGTCAATAAGGTCTTGGACGGTTTCATACTCGTGGTTGCATCTGTTTGGAATACTTTCAAATATTTTGTCAGGATAATTTAGGGGAATCTTGTAGAAATTCCCCTTCTGATCGCGAGCAAGTGCTTGAGGTAGATCTTTCATGGCGTGAAGGTGCACAATTTCGCCTTGAGACCACGATCGTTGGATTGATTCGTTTGATTCATATCCTTCCACGATTTCAGCTGTTTCAGGAAGATGACATTCTGTTAGAAACTCGCAGAGAAACAAGCCATCGAAGTCGTTGTTATTTTGACTCCACGGCATCTCGAGACTCCTCTTCATCAACAACACTTCTTCTAACTAACAATCCTGCGATAGTTAGCATACCGTTTCAACCTTCTTACAGTGATCCCGTGACACTGACTCTATTTTTATTGTTATTAGTTTTGAGGAGGGGGGGGGGCATAGTTTGCTTCCTCTCTATCAAATGTAGTTATCAGACATATCAGTTCCGTGATAAAAGTTTCTAACAGCTCAACAAGATTGTTTAAAACTAAAATTGAGATACGTTTGAAAACTCAAAAATTATAACTAAAACAAAGGGCGCCTCAAAACTATGCGAAGTTTCGATATTTCCGCTATCATAAACCTCCCCCAGAAAATTACTTCGCTAAGAAGAGACAGCGCTGGCAGTTAACCAATGAACCATAACTCACGTTTAGATAATCTCATGTCGTGGATGCTAAGCTGAGACAAGCAAACAATTAAACCGAATGATTAACGTCTACGTTTGGCAGTTTGGAAACATATTTTTAGCGTATTTCAGCTTTTCCACCTCAGTTTAACGATCCTGAAACTGATAGAGCACATGGTTCATGCGCCGCTCTAACTACTGCTTAGGTTACCTTATGCGATGTGTAAATAGGAGGTGCTATACTCATTTGCTAATTAATATACTATCATCCAGTAGAGTGGATTTACATCTCGTCAATAATAGATCAGTAGATACCGTTTTCTAGCTATCAATTTGATAATAATTCAACGCGCTTGCGTGACAAACCAAGCTTGAATTTTCAAGATCGTTTTCATTTAAATCAATCCATCATACCCAAAGCTTCTAGATTACAGACTCGAACCAAGGAAAGAGTTTTGTGCTTTTATAACGGTAAAATTCCCCCCCTCTGATGTAATAATCTTCATTGCCTTTTTCCTTTCGTCTAAGTACAGAACTTGACAAAGAAGTGGGTTTCATTTAGAGCCACAAACACAGACGTGACACGAACATGAGCGTGAACGACAAACACCTCGTGACATTTTTTTGGCATGATTTCAAAGAAATAATTAGCATAAATAGCATAATCAATGAAGGCGTTTGATAGTTAGTCGTCCTGCTGTGCCACGATCGCAACAAGGAGCCTAAGCCTTAACACAAAAACCATAAGGAAGTTTGCCTATCTTTCGTGTTCATTTTGCGTGCCGATTTTGTGGCAGCGGAAAGCGTCATATGTCAGAGGCGGATATAACTCTCCTATGGATCTTTCTGTTTCTGTGGCAATGGTTTAAATCAGGAACCCTGCAGTCTGCTCCTGTCCATGATGTTCAGCCATATCGTCTGGAGTGACAAATCTTGTACTCTAAAAGAATTTGTCGATGAATACCCGCTTCCGCAACTGATCAAAGTCGAAAGCGGGGTCTACAATGACGACGATGCGAGAACGCTATCAGCAGAGCAGATTCTCACCCTACATATCACCAAACGGAGCGACAAGGTGTTAGTGAGGGCTGCCGAAAACAAACAGTATTTCCTACCGGTAACATGTCCACATAAAGTTGAGATTCTTCCAAAGTTTTGTCAAGACAAATATTACAGTGTGGAAGATATTACCAGCTCTTTTACAGCCCCAGATTTTAAATTTATTCGTGTGGTACATAACGGTCCGCCTTCGCTTCGAATACGAGCTGGGGACATATTAAAACTCAAGAAAACTGAAGAGGAAAATCGGGTTAAGTATCTTGAATGTGAGTTTTATAATAAGACTCAAGACTCTGTGATGCTTCCATTAGAATTCAAAGCTGCCTTCGAGCCCTTAGCCAGCCCGGAAGAGTATCATTTGCAAGAAGTTGTGAGTTCGTTTACACTTCCTGTTCGCGTGAAGTTTACCTCCAGTGACACTATAATACAAGATGCTGCGAACACTAACATTGAATTGCAATCGCTCGGTTCGGTTCTCTTAAAAGAAATTCGAGAGGAAATTACAGTTATTGCTACAAGTCGTGACGACGAAACTGTCACTGTTTTAATGATTCCTTCTGATTTGGATGTGAAAGTGAATCCTGCTCTCGGGGCCGTAAAAGGTGATTCAACGTACGCAAGATTCTGTAAAGAAATCCACGATGGAACAGAACTTTCCAAAATCGACCTTTTGAATAGTTCGAAATTGCTGGAATATTCTGAGGAACCTACCGTTGATGTTGTCTATGATTATGTTGAGATAGGTCCACCACTTCCTCCTCGGTCAGACTCCAAACGAAGTGAACCGACAGATTCCGATGAAGATTACGAAGATGTAGACCTACCTCCTCCCAGACCACCAAAACCATCTCCTAAACCAAACCTGATATCAGCCCATCAAAACGAGAAAACCGATGGTGTTTTCCCTTCCATGTGCTCCAGATCTTACAGTTCTGAGAAACCATTATCTTTTAATGAAGATGGTGACGATGACAGTGAGGATGACGATGGCGAGTATGAAGATTTTGATCCGGTCTTTGGGAGCTCAGATGACGAAGAGGATGTCTATTCACAGACAGATCTACCAGGGGCAGAAATGCCTAGTGACAGAGGAAAAGAAAAACGTAGTGCCCTTGAAGAACCTGAAAAACTTAATCTCAAGACACGAGTTTCAGCCATTCTCAAGAAGGCCATTGCCAAGTCACCTATGTCTCCACCCGCCTCCCGATTGCCCTCTAACACTTATGCCAACATCCCAACCCAAAGGCCTGATCCACCCCCACAACGACAATCACCTGAGAAAAGTCTTTCCACTTCACCTTCCCCTGTGGCTTCTCATTTATCCCAGGGGTACCCCTATGATCTATCAAGTCTTTCTGTTTCAGAAGTAGGAGAATGCCTCAAAAAGCTTAACCTGGGAGAGCACGTTAAAGCTTTTGAAAAGCAAACCGTTGATGGGAGTCTTCTGAAGAATCTAAGTGAACAAGAACTGATAGACCTTGGAGTAACTAAATTATTTCAAAGGAATAAACTTCTTCTTTTTATACAGGGATGGAGGCCTAAAATGAATTAACTACTAATTGCTCCTCTTTTCACTGAGTAGCTCAAGCACAAAGCAGAATGCAGCTTGTTATTAAGAACCCTTGAAATATATTCTAAGAGACATTTGTTCATCATTGTACAAGAAATACAGATATCTTATTAGTTTCTGGTTTGTAGAATCGCCGAGTATTTCACAGGTTGTGCCGTATTGTGACGAACCCATAGAGTATCGCGTCAACATACAAACAAGGAGTAAAAATACTCAGCGATACTACAGGCCGAAACACTTGATAAGTTATAGATTACACAAATGCTATGATGTCTTCCAATTTTTAGTCCTTTTAAAATACGCATGGAAGCGTAGCCAATCTGTCAAACAGGTTTTTTTTTGCAGAAAACCAACTTTTCAATCAACTGTACAATATCGTGAGGTATTTGAACTCAAATCGCTTGTTACTTCTGCTCTTCCAAATGCAGTTGGTTAATATGATAGGTTATAAATTGGTATTTTCGCACTTATCTTAAAAACTCGTAGCTTCTAAAGCCAGCATGAGATGTAAATATCTTTATACTGAAGAGGAATTATTAGAGAACATGGTGAATATAACACCAAAGAACTATAGGAATTGGTATCTAATTTCTGGTTCATATAAATCGCTAAGGCCGAGAGACTGGCAAATGGAACTAAGAGGTATAAATGAATGTTTACTTGATAAACGTGGGCATGCCGTCAATTTCCTTGCTATATTGGAATGGCCTTAGTGTTGTGGTAAAGATCTGCTCCTCGGAGATCAGCCCAAGTGTAACATTTATTTTGTTCACTTTGTTTTCAATGGAAATTGATTTTGTGTTCATAATAGGAGTCAAGCTGAGTCAGAACAAGGAACTAGCTGAAAATGCAAAGAGTGCATCTCTGTGTTAAAACGCAGACAAAATTTCCATTTTAGTTCATATTTAGATCACAACACTTAGGCACAAGTTTATTACTTTAACTTTTGTCAAAAAAAAAATGAAATAGAAAATAGAAATCAGGAGATTAACAGATTAGTATTGATATCATATCAATATGAAGATGACAACATAAGATCAGTTTTGTCTATTGTTCATAATTATTACTTCTTGATTCTGTAAAGTATTGTTGAAGTGTGACAAATAAATCACTTTGAAAGAAAAATCAGTGTTTAGGAGACTGGATGGGAAAAATGGGAAAATTGATGCCCTTAACAACATCATGACAGGACTAACTGTGAAAAAAAAAACACCAGCTGAACTCTATACCTCCAATGAGTCACCAAGACAGAATTTCTCCTTATGTCATCAATACAATATCATGCAGACAAGTGATGAGAATAAAGAATAATATTTATAAGTTGATCCAATACCAAATTCTCCAAACTAACATCACAAGAACTGTAGGGCAGACAGTAAGGAGAATTAGTAATGAGATCTTGGGAGTTAAAGAGTTAACAATTGGAAGCTTCTCGTAACTTGCTGATATTGAGCTCACTGAAAAATCTTCTTTGCCAGCATTCCACTGCCCTGGAATCACATTTGACAAATTTTTTATATTTGTGTCAGTTAGGTCCACAAGAGCCAATCATTCTTACAAACTTTATGTCAATCCTGAAAGAGTAAATAGTTACAAACATTCCTTTTTCATTTGCATGATCAGAATCTGGAGTAACTCACCAAGAGATTTCATGGAAGCCGATAACCTCCAGCTTTTAATCCAAATTTAGGCATCATCTGTTACATCTTAATTGATTCAGAATATTTTAACTTGAGAAATTTTACTGGTGCTGTAATTAGAAATTTCATTTCTTTTTTCTTTTCTTTTTTATAGGGAGTTTTTAAATAGTGTTTACCTCTCAACTTCCTCTCAAGATGCCTTTTAACTTAATCCTTACCTTTGCAATTTTAGCTAGCTGCATCTTGGATAAAGTTTGTTATAAAGTTTGTATGCTTACCACTGGGAAAATGAGACAAATTCCACCTCAGTTAACTATACACTCCAGTTCAAAAAACCTTTAGGAGAAACAATGCTAACCATTGCATCTAGTATATGAAAGTTTATTTCAATTTCAACGAGCATCAAGTGTAGTTGCAAAATAAACATCACCATATGTTCATAGAGAATTGTTTAAATGCCATTGTATGATGATAATTTGTGTTATTTCAGTTGACTGCTAATTGGTCATAAGTATACCTCCATAATACATGTAGTATAGCTGAAGAGAAAGATTTTAAGAAAAATAGTGAAGGTATTGATTGTATGGCTATTGTCTACCACCCTAAACCTACTGATGTGCCCAACATGGTAGTATTTATCTCTACCAACAAATACCACCCATTAGTATATACCACACAAGTGAATGGTGTTTTAAGCTTGCACTGATTGGCTAGTTCAGAAGTGATTAGCAAGTATTCTTCACCGTCATGTTTCTAACCTTTTTTTTTAGCATGTTAACTAACTAACTTCTTTCATGGTTGCTGTGTGTTGTCTACTAAAACAGTAATGTCCAAGAAAGTGGTGGATAGTTAGCTCCAATTGTTATTTTAATGTATGACATGTATCAAAACACATGCCATATATTATGAAAATAATAAACACCTCTCATCTGTTTGATATAAATAAGAAAATCAACTCTCTTGAAAAGTGCATGCACTTCACTGCTGCAGTCAAAAGCCTCACCTCTATCATAATTCCACACTTTCAAGAAGTACCCAATTCAAAGAAGATGGGCAAAAAAAATACTTTTCTTTCGCTGTTTCTGGAAATGAATTGCCCCCTTGGATGGAATATTGGTCCATTGCAGGTTACCCCTGAGCAGTTTATCAGGTGTGACTGACAGTTTTGCAGGTACAAGCCAATCAAACTCCTTCATGGAGATAGTTACTGTGACAATTGAGTGGTTGCCCAGAACACAACACAACACCGTAACTGTTGGGCCCCAGGACCTCCCACATTTGCGACAGTGAACATAGCCTAAATTTCCCAAAATCAGATATGAATTGCCACACATTTCATGCATAACCCTACATCCCAACAACATAAGAATAGTAAGGTTGTCATGGTTATATTCCCAAAGATACCTTCGGAGCCATCATCTTCACTAACCTCTCTCTGTCAAGGGACTAATTACATTGATCTAGTGCAGATAAAGTAAATAAAGTGAAATAAGATGAATAAAATTTCTTGATACATACATACACCTTTATTCAAATTCTATATACAAATAAATTTATATATAAAAATTTGAAAAGGGGAGTTTGGAGGTTAGCCCTATATAACAACTCCCCTGAATAAGAAATAAAAAGTAACAAATGTAGAACTATGTACAGAAAAAAAAAAAAAAGAAGAAGAAGAAGAAGAAAGGAACTATCTAATGTTTACAATTTTAAAAATATTTTTAATCTTAATTTAAAAAGTTCCAAATTTAAATTTAAATTTGATTTACTAGTTTAGTCATGGTAATAAAAGCAATAAATTTCAATTAAAGAAAAACATTTTACGCAACATTTATTGATGAGGCGCATAAACTTATTGCAGAATTTGAAACAGGATTGACGACGAAGTTTTCTTTCTTCAGAGCTGTCAAAGGTTTCGGGAACACATATATATATTGATATAGCTCTTTAGCATTACAAAGCTTTGCTATCGCTATTGTGCATTCTTACTAGTTTATCTAGTTCAAGTCCTCTGGCATGGCTTGGATGATACCACAATTGTGGAATCATTCGGGTTAATTTAATGCTTACACCTCCTTCCTCAGACAGAAGTCACAAAATACTGGGGGAAGATGCATGAGATATTTAAGGAGCAAAAATTCGTTTTTTACTGGTGTGCCTTTCCTAATTTTGGGAAGGAAAGTGTTCTTATATAATAATTTCTTTTTATCCTCAACCTTTGTGTTTCTGTCAACTATGGCTTGCTAATTCGAAAGGTCAAATACTTGAATGGGTCATATGACATTGATCTCAGAACACTTTTATGACAAACGTGATAACAGTTCAATCTTGGCTAAATTGAAGATGGTTTAGAAGTTAACAATTATAAGAACTTTTCACTAACATATGCTGCTGACAAAGGATAAAATATATGCAATTCTGCATTTTTTGCTTTCTATCAAGCAATCATATGTTTGCTCCTTATCATGCTATGACACTTCCGTTTTGTCACATTCCAAAAAATAACTTGAGAAGTACACTGTCACTCATCTTACACTGTTATATTTACCTATTACAGAAGGCTGGAAACAAAGATTTTGTTTTCAAGAAAATAAGATTTCTTGTCCAAGACACAAGGAAGTTTGACTGCAAAGCACAGATAAAAATGCGAGAAATTTTATTTTTTTCAGAGAACAAGGTAGTTCTACTCATGTATAAACAGAACAAATGCGATTTAATAAATCAGATATGCGGCATGACTCCTTTTCTTCCATCCCCACTCAAAACAAGCAAACACACCTATAGAGGTTCCAGTCTGGTCTGCAAATGAAAAGGAGGAAGGTGATCACTGCAAAATTAAGCATTAGGGTTCTTATTTATAACATATTGATTATCGTATACTGATATCTAGAAATTAAGGTTGCAAGTAGCAGCCAGCTGAGTTATAGTTTGAGTTTATCAAGTCCATTACTTTGTTAAATTTAGAGTAACCTTGTCTTGAGAGAGGAAAATTGAGGAGCTGTAATATACTTATCATCAATTAAGGACCACAAAGAAAAATTTATTTATAGAGACTTTTGAAGGAGAGGGGTAAGACTTGTGACAAGCTGGCAGACATATAGATAAACTTTACTGCTAAATGGGTTACAATACAAAGTGCTCAGTATTTGGATCAGCTATGGCTCAAATTAAACTTTGCTTTAGCTTCAAGTTTAATCCTTTGTGGTTTCCTTTCTCTGTGTTTATTTTTCACGTTACGTACACAGAAGAACACAAAAATGACAAGGAATGCTTTTGAATATTAAGAGGCTGGAATAAGCAAAAAACCAAAACTGAATTTTAAACAGTACAAAGTTAATTGATCTTCCAATGTTATTTAATTTTAACCATTAATAGAATTTGCTATTTAAATTTATCCCCTCCATTTTTCTGGATATTGTGAGCAAAAACAAACAATTATCACAAAATGCATGGTATACAATGGTTTGATTCAACAATGTGGCAAAGGCCTTTCACTGTCTATCCATAAAAAGGGAAATAGTTTGTAAAATGTAAGACATTCTGCATCTTGAACGTATACTTATTCATCCATGTGAAATTAAAGGTCACTTGAAATAAATGTGAAAGATTTATAGGATTTTCAGACCCCTGATAACAATTACTAATGTGCTGATTTGTTGTACTTAAAGGTTATGATTTTAGCGGAAATAGTGGAAGAAATTTCTGGACCTGGAATTTTGTTGCAAATGTCTGTTTAAATCAGTTTAAGTCAGTTAAAAACTCTCCTGTTTCAAGATTACATGATTACCACACCAGAACCTTATGTATTCTATATTGTGCACCATGTTATGATTATGGTTTCAATAATAAAAGGTGCTGACTCAATAACTTTGCAAAATATCTCTACATACAAAGAAATAGATTGTGGTTATGTACTCCAAATAGCAGGTCACATCAGTCTTCTGTAAGGAAGTAGCAGAAATTGCTATGGTGGTTTTGGTGGATGGAGAGAAACATCCACCAAAACCACTTTATTCTATGTGTTAAGAGTTATAATAATCATTATGAACGTTTGGTCGGTCAGCAATTGTGCACCATAAAAAATAATTAGCCAGAGCATTAACTGCTAATTAGTGGTATAAATCTTTTGTCTCCCTGAACATCTAACAGTGGCTATAGATAAAATTTAAAAAATATATTGTTGATGGTTTTGGTCAAAGTTTTGGTGGATGTTCCCCAATGACATCCACCAAAACTACGTAACATCTGAGCACCTTTTAAATACGTGAAATATCTGCATAAAATTGCGTAAAATGTTTTATAATACTACATCGAACAATAAATTAATACTTACCATTTCTTGAGTAAAAAGTTTTGACGCAATTTCCCAAACAAATGATACACTTAGGTCATCGGGATAAGTCGGCATGTTGTCGTAGCTTCGTAATTTTCATTTAGTATAACAAGTCATGAGTTGTCCATCATTCCATCTCAGTCCCTCTCGACCAAGGTGGTTTTGGTGGATGGAATCTAATGCTGACCATTTTAATAACACTGATTGCGACTTACCAACGGTCAAGCGACGTGATTGAACCAGAAATGAACATTATTAGATGCTTTACATTTGAAGAATACATTGTCGAGTTTAAATCAAGGAAATTTCGCAAATTTTGTGTGGCTCTTTCCTTCACCCTCGTCGATCTTAAGTTTCTTGTTCAGCAGACGTTTAGCTTAACAATGTAGCCGCCAAGACCAACGCTTGCAAAGGTAAACAAAACTTGTGAATAGTATCGCCACTATAATGCCCTTGTCATAGTGCTACTGGTTAGAAAGATCCTCAAGATGAAGTTTCTATTGTCTTGTACCTCTAGCCGGTAGGATCTGAAGGTGCTTATAAAATACTACCGGCGAGAGGTACAGCTTGCATACTTAGTCGACTTTGCTCAGTTTTTATTACAGTTTGCTCCACATCTGACTTTTCTGCACTCCAAACTAGTCTTACACTCCTAGAAATCACTTTTTGCTGGAGTACGTTTACATTTATTTTTTTATCTGGTCTTGTACCTCTAGCTGGTAGGAGCTCAAGAGGCTTATAAAATACAACTGGCTAGAGGTACAGCTTGCATATTTAGTCGACTTTGCCCAATTTTTATGATGGTTTGCTTCGAATTTTACTTTGCTGTATTCCAAATTAGTCTTACACTCCTTCGAATTTCTTTTTTCAAGAATACATATACATCTATTTAGTTCTGTTCAGTCTTGTGCCTCTACTGTGTAGGATCTTAAAAGGCTTATAAAATACTACCAACTAGAGATACAGCTTGCTTACTTAGGCGACTTTGCCCAATTTTTATCATGGTTTGCTCTGCATATTTCTTTTCTGCACTCCAATGAAGAAATGTAAATGTCTTGTACCTCTTGTATTTCCATGACGCGAAGTGGAGTGGTTTCCAGCTTATCAAGTGTTCTCCCAACCTCCCAAGTGTTTACATCAGGCTTTGTAAACACGGAAACCATTTTACATTTCTTTTATAAAATAACTAATGAAAGAGCCTCTTCTTGCAACAAAGAAAAGCAACGTGCTTGTTGTTGTTGTTCATTTGGCTTTTCAGCCGTTTCTTGAATACTGGGAAAATTAAACTCCAAAGAAAAATTAGGAAAATCTTCTTCTTCCATTACTGTACTCAAAACAAACTAAAAAAGAAACTGAGTTACTGCTAAATAAATAGCAGGGAGAACTCCGCAAGAAGATTCAGTATGAAAACCGTGTTTACATACGCTCATGTAAAATGGTTTTATGGCCAATCAGAGCGCACATACTATTTGAATTATTTTATAAATTGTAATCCTTGGAATCATTTTTTTTTAAGAATACTTCTAATTTTTTTTTCATTTGGTCTCGTACCTCTGGCTGGTAGGATCTCAGGAGGCTTAGAAAAGGCTACCAGCTCGAGGTATAGTTTGCATATTTAGTCAACTTTGTCCAATTTTCACTGCAGTTTGCTCCACATTTTACTTTTCAGCTGAAACTAAAGCAGGCATTATTAGGCAATAAGCAAAGGGTTTCTAGTTGGTGTTCAATTAAGAAAGGTTTGATTTCTTTTTAATAATAACAATTTTTATTAAAAAATACAATAAATAACACAGGCACAGGTAAATTTCATTTATTTAGTTGTATAAATTATATATATATCTAACTGCAGACAGTACTGTTTCAGCCTTCTGGGCCTCATCAGTGCAGTGCCCATGCCAGAATGGAGGTAAGGCCATATAGCCACCCCAAGAGATCTCACACATGTGGGATCATCTAAGCCATGCCAGAGTGCTCGAACTAGATAAACTAGTGTTTATATATATATATATATATATATATATATAGATATGTATATGTATACATATATATGGTTTTCATACAGCCATACATGCTGTTAAATATCATTGAAAATACATAAGGAAAATGTTAATTTGGTGAATTAAAATCATGTTATCCTATGACTACCTGAGGATGACTTAGTTTTTAGTATATCAGTCAATTGTTGGCATTGTCAACAGTACTTCTAATCAAAGACAAATATCATGAAAATTGAGACTATTCCTTTCTAGGAAATTCCACTCACACTTATGCAGAGTAAATCTGGTCGACATGTTCAAGTCTAAAATGAATTTTAAGTCAAATTCATCGAAAACTGTTTTGAATTGTATTGAAATAAATCCACAATCAAAGAAAATAAAAATAAGACTAGTTTAAAATTTATTTACTTGAAATTCATTTAAAACACAATAATGGTAGTGATTTCAAGCTTAATTCACATACAGAAGCTGCCCCTCTGGCTGGTAGTGTTTTCTGAGTAATGTAAGATCCTACTAGCCACATGAACAAGACTGCAGAGCATGAAAATAATTATACATATGGAATGACTCCACAACAGTATAAGACTAACATGGAATGTAGAAAGTTTTTTCCATAAATCAAAAAGTAAATGAAATGAGCTAAATTCTCCTTCAATGCACAAAGTACCTCTAGCAGTAGTATTTTCTAAGCCACCAGAGATCCTACTGGCTTGAGGTACACAACCAAGGAAAAAGAAGATATTCTTGAAAGAAGTGATTTCAATGTACTGTAAGACTAAATGGAATGCCCAAAAGTAAAATTAAAAGCAAACTGCAGTAATGAAAATTGGGCTAAGTGATTAAATATGTAAGCTGTACCTCTAGTTTTTTTTTTGAGCCTCCTAAGGATTCCTACCAGCTAGAGGTATCAAATAACAAAAATAACTGTAAATGTATTCTTGAAAAAAGTGATTCCAAGGAGTGTAAGTTTAAGTTGAAGTGCAGAAAAGTCAATGTGGATCAAACTATAGCAAACTCTGGGCACACTTCATTCGGAGCCTCACTCTGTCATGTCCTGCACCTTTCATCTCTTGTTCTTTTGACCTTGTCAAAAGTATTTCTTCTTCCCAGTGTTATTTCAGCATCATGATCATGGTGAAAGCAATTAAATAAATAAATAAGTAATTGAAATATGCAAGCTGTACCTCTAGCTGGTAGTAAGCTCTTTCAGATCCTACCAGCTAGAGGTACAAGACCAAATAAAAGTATATATATGGGAATGTATTCTTGAAAAAGTGATTCAAAGGAGCATAAGACTAATTTGGAGCACAGAAAAAGTAAAATGTAAAGCAAACCATCATAAAAATTGGGCAAAGTCGACTAAATATACAAGCTGTACCTCTAGCCGGTTGTATTTTATAAGCCTCTTGATCTCCTACTAGCTAGAGGTACAAGACCAGATAAAAAAATAAATGTAAATGCACTCCTGTAAAAAGTGATTCCAGGGAGTATAAGACTAATTTGGAGTGCAGAAAAGTCAGATGTGGAGCAAACCGTGATAAAAATTGGGCAAAGTCGTCTAAGTATGCAGGCTGTACCTCTAGCCAGTTGTATTAATTTTTCTAAGCCCCTTCAGATCCTACCAGCTAGAGGTAAAAGACCAAATAACAAAATAAATGTAAACGTACTCCTGTAAAAAAAAAGTGATTCCTAAGAGTGTAAGACTAGTTTGGAGTGCAGAAAAGTCAGATGTGGAGCAAACCGTAATAAAAACTGGGCAAAGTCGACTAAGTATGCAAGCTGTACCTCTCGCCGGTAGTATTTTATAAGCACCTTCAGATCCTACCGGCTAGAGGTACAAGACAATAGAAACTTCATCTTGGGGATCTTTCTAACCAGTAGCACTATGACAAGGGAATTATAGTGGCGATACTATTCATTAGTTTTGTTTGGAATAAGGCGGACTAAGGTTCATCCCGATAGAAATTTAACGCAAGGAAAATCGAAAAGAGATTCTACCGAAGAGTTCAGAGCCACTTTAAAAGTGAGAAAGAATTTCAGGTGGCGCCGAACACTCTTTCCCTCACCGCCCCCTTACCCCCATCCCCTCCTCCCCCCCTACCCCCACCCCTCCCCCCTTACCCCCTTACCCCCTCCCCCTCCCCCTCTGTGCATCAGCCAAGCTTGATAAGCTTACTTATCTCATCCTTACAAAATGAAAGATGAAGGACTGGGAATTAAGCTTCCAAAAAATTGAATTTTAATGTGTAAGCTAGATTTAAGGAAGTAATCTTTCGATTATGACATGATATGTTACAGCGCATCTCGACCTATACTTCTAGTTAAAAGCTGAAACGATTATTTCGTTTATCAGTGTTTCATACGGCTCATCATGTGCAAGATCATCCCGCAATGACAAGGACTGTGTATTTACAAACACCTACCCACCTGAAAAGTCTTTACATTTATCGGAGAAAGTAAACAGACCTTGACACCTAGTTTTAAACATGGCCCGCCGTAAAGAAGGTAAGAATTGTTTTAATTGACAAACATGAGAACTTGAAATCAGAAAAATACTTAGAAGGGCCAAGTAATGCTTCTATTTCTCTATTTACAGCTGCCCTTCACAAGCCAGATTCATTGGAGGAAACTCTGGCCAACTTCATAATTCGATATCAGCCTCCGTACATTGCTCAAGTGTTGGAGGGAGTCGATAATGGAGTTTTTTCCGTATCAGTGGACGAATTGTTGACAGTACACAAAACCGTGCAGCTGAGGCGAATCCGAATGAGAGATTCAAAAGGCAAGCACTATTTCCTGCCCGTTGACAACTCGGCGCGCGTTGAAATTGTGCCTAGGACTCGTACACGCCTTGCAAAAGACTTCGATCCTCATCTGATCCGCACAGCTAGGTTTCTTCGCGTCTTGAGAGATGTTCCTGAGCTGAAACTCGACGATGGAGATATTTTAGAACCCATTTTTTTCGAATCTACGAGGAGCACTGAAGCGGAAACTTTAAAATGCAAAATACTTCGTGAACCAGGGAAGGAAATTAGGCTTCCACTTCACTGGGGAGTACCTCTTGAGTTATTACACGACTTTGACCCAAGAAGCTACACTCTAAGGTATGTAGCAGATAATATTGCTTTTCCAGTGGCTGTGAGATTTGTTGAGAACGTGGTATCCTACTCTGATGTTGTAGCAACC